ATACATACATTTTTTCATTGACTGGTTAATTCTATTAACTGACACTGTATTTTTCGAGTCAGTCTGTCAAAGAAATATGACCAATCAAATAAATGTAGCTACCAGTTATTTTTCCCCCTAATGACTAATAATCCAGATTATATGGACAAATACAGTTATACAGGGACTCGGTTATTTTTTGGAAGTGTTATTTATGAATGAGTTTTACAAAATAAACACAGAAACGATTTAATTTAAACCTCAGTTGACCCCGAACATAGAAGTTGATTAAAATATTTAAAAAAATTGTAAGCTAACTGTTATATCTAAAACTTTGATTCTTAATATTAATATGTATAACTTGAGCATTCGAACACTAGAACTTTAACAAATTGCAAATAGGAATACAGAAGACAAGTAAAAGGAATGCATTCCAAAACAGCGTCAATTATGGTGCAAAACTGTCAGGTATTTATAATTTTTAGTAAAAACGATATCATTAATATAGTCATCCAACCCGCATACAGAGGGGGTTATTAGCATTTGTCCAATAGGGAATCTACACGTAGGGATTCTGGAATATTCATCCAAAAGATGATTGCATAAAATAGATTTGGCTCTTTCTGAGCTTCTTAGAGCTTCATCGAGTTCAACTGTGGGCCGTCCTTACACTAACATGTTAAAAAAGGAAGTTTTAAACATTTTTCTTTTTATAGTTGAATTCATGAATCAATTGAATCTAGACTACCATGGGAAACCTGGAAGAACTGGACAGTCGTTTCGTCCTAGTATGGGACTCTTCAGTAGTGCACATCTACGATTCCGCATAGCGAGATACCAACCCATGACCTATCGGTCTCGCGTACCAACGCTTAACCTCAAGACCACTGAGCCAGTTGGTATTCAATGGTGTTAATGTCTAACTTCAACCAATCCATGAAATCGCACCACCGTCCACCACTATTTTCAGTGAGTTACTATGTGACTATAGACCCGGTTGAACTCCACTGAACACGACTTGTCACTAGAACTCTACGAAATACCTCTTCAATCCAGTCTTTAGTGAGTATGCTGAGCATGCTGAGGAGTCCCACACTAAGACGAAACGGCTGCCCAGTTCTTCCAGGTTTCCCATGGTAGTCTAGCTTCGATTGACTCATGACTTCAACTATTGAAATTACCATAATGTTCACAAAACCCCTTTATATATATATATGATAGATTTGTTCTCGTATGAGGCCATAAGTTCTAATTGCTAAGGTGTCCAAACAGTTTCTTGATTAACTATATTTGATAGCAATAAACACTTTTAAATACTTGAAACTTCATTTATTTTAATCGTTTCAGTCATTCTTACCTGAAATGTTGGTTTATTAAGAGTGCTATCTTTCCTAGCTTATGTCACAAACTAATCCAAGCTAGGCAATTATCACTCAATAATCCCCGCAAACTTTTCTAATCACGTTCTCACTAGAGACTAATCTCATGAGAAAGCTCTTGGAATTCAACTGACAGTTCTTGATAATTTAAGTCCCATCAGTTCATGTACAAGTCCAATAGGAATAGCACAATACCAATACTTGTGTGTTATGACTGAGCATGAATTAGCAAGTTATGATGGTGAATTTGACTGAAATGTATGCAAACTCATCAATATATACATTTATACGTATATCCTCCAGATAATTGAATCAAATCTCTGCTAACAGATTCAAATATCAATAGCATTCACCTAACGTTTGGTCTTGACCAAACACATATGCAGAGTTATGTGTTGTATCTGCATTGACTCAACCTATAATCATTTCTATAAGATATAAACCATTAAATACAAACTCAGTGGTCTAAAGGTTAGACGCTTGTTACAAAGCCTGAAGGCAGTGGGTTCGATCTCAAGTGGACTCATAGATAGGTACTACTGAAGAATGTCATATTAGAATGAAAGAGCTGTTTAGATAGACCCTGAATTGTTTATTTTTTTCAGAAAATATGTTATCTTGTTGTTGACAACTCATTGGTACTTAAAGCAATACACAGAGTGGATATTAACACTGAGATCCAAGTTCTATCATTTACAGTGTCTTCAATGTGGAAAAATAATTATTTCTTTTCTTTTGATTTCAATCTTTTTTTTTTAAGAATTGCATTTCTAATGGATCTAGATCACAAGTTTTCAGATCCCTTGACTGACTTAATGTTTCAAGACCATTCAGTTATAATCAAGTGGTCCATATTTACAATCTACAATTTTGGTGTAATCTACATTAAACGGGTAACTGAATTTCAATTCTAATTTATGAAACGTGTGAACAAAGGTCAATTATGAGTAAATTATTATACTTTAGATATTTAGTTGGCTACATATCTGACCATACGCGAATCAACAGTTTTCTCACTTAATATTTGTTTATACTGAAGACAATTAGTTCTAAACAAAGTGACGGGTCATTGAGTAGCAACCAATACCTTTGTACCTAGTCTTTAATGTTAGTCAATGCAACTGCTAGTCTAAATGTAATTTACATCGTAATTCCCCTTATTCAATATACACACACCTACTAATTAGGGCTAAATGGGGGTCATCAATCAGTTAGAATTATGATTTACAGTTGATGGTTGGGGTTAAAAATTATATTTAGGGTTTTCATCACGGACTGACATCAGCTTTAATGCCAAAACTCTATTTAGCCAAATGTATGAAGGAATTTCGCGCCAAAATACATAACTCGTTATCTTATATCTGATTGGTTCGTTTATAAATTATACTCTCGACTAAAAATTTTAAAAAATACATCTAAAACTCTTCACTTACTTGATAGTTTAATATAAAAAAAGATAAATTCGTCAAAGCAAAAAAGTATCCTTCTTAAATTACATAATTATGATGTGGGTATATGAGAACATTTTAATTTCATTGATCGGCCACAGTAAAACAACAACTGAAAACCGTGAAGCACTGAACAGTGAATTCGTTCAAATGTGTAACTCTTTAATAGGGCTCATCTACAAATTCATCATAAGGAATCTGATCCACAACCCTCATTCTCATGCATAGGCGCTTAATCTCTAGACCACTAAATTGCAGTTTATTAGTTTACATGTCTAAACTCAAATTAATTTGTAATATTGCACAACCATATTGCAATATATTTGGTGAATATGTGTTTCACAATTTACGTGGTTGAACTACGGCTTGTATATTTAAAGCTGTTAAGATTATTAATTCACATGGTATTGTTTGTTTGTATCTTCCCATTGTTATTTAGGATTGCAATTGATCAGGCTGTTGTTAGTAAATGTGGCTATCAGGACTCAGTAGATTAGCGGATAACGAGATGGCGTTTGAAGCGAATGGTACTGGGTCCAAGTCTCAAAGTCAATATCAACTCTGGGATGAAGGTACATCCATCTAACGAGTCTCAAATAGGATGAAATGTTCGTCCTGTATTCCACTGCTAGTCACTATTTATCTTTTCTTGTTAAAATTATTTTTTTTAATTTCTATACTTCAAATCTTACATAATATATACTCAAGTTCAACAATGAAATTTGGTGAAAATTCTTTCGATTCTTTAAAAAAGAAGAATATTGGTTCACCAACGTTCTGTCATCAAAGTATAAATGATGGTGAATTTAGAATAAGGATCTTTGATTGGCTAACATAATATTAACCAGTCACAATTAAATTAATGAAATACATATCACACATTTTTGATAAACAAACACCAATATATTACATTTGTCAGTTAATGGGACAGTAGCTTGTTCATTTATATAAATATGAAACAGAAATTAATAAAATTCAGTTAGCAACCACTTTTGCTTACACATTTCAAACTGTAGTTTGTTTGTACATATATATTAACAAATTGTTCTACACACAAACATTTATATATATATTCACATGTGATTTCACTCAGATGATAAATATGTATATATGATATAGTTACACAGTACCTATACTCTAACACACACACACACACTCAGTAACATAGAGACATGTATTTTTTAGAAAAAAACCTCATGATGATCACTCAATCAGAGGTGCATATGAATAAATAAAGTATAATGCTCTATGAAATCACTTTTCAGTATAGATATTGTATTACTTATATTGGAGGTGTCCATGTGTGTATATAAAGAAAACAACCGATTTTAACCAAAAAATCAATAATATGAGAATACACACTATTCAAATTTGTTACTTATTCATTTGATACATGTGGTTAATAGTTAACACTATTGGTTCTATGTAGATATTTTTCTTGTATAAGCGATAAATAAACACCACCCCCCCCAAAAAAAAAGCAGCAACAAACAAACAAACATGGAATTTAATCGCAATACTATTCGACAAACTGGTTACTTTACACCGACTTATTCAAATTCACCTAATGTGAAACGGCATCAAGATTTATTGAGTAATTATCAATCAGAATCATATGGATTAAATTATTTAACACAATTACATATGGCTCATAATTTCCCTACATATCACCATAGAAATATTATCAATGCTATAGATATGGGACAGAGTAATTACGATAATGATGATAATAATCATAATAATTTAAACACAAGTCGATCAAGTCATAATAATCGTGTACGAATTAATCATACACTTGATGGAAAAACACAAATTATCTATGAAACACCAAGTAGAACACGTCAGTATTGGTTAGATCGATGTAAATTATCAAGTACCAATTATATCGATAATAATAATGATAATAATGATAATGATAATAATAATATTGATAATACAATGAATTCTAACAAAATTATAGCAATTAAACCAAATTATTCAACATATAATACTCATTTACAATTAGCTAGTAGTAAAACAACAACAATAATCAATAAAAATTATTCCCCTATTGAAAGTAAATGCAAATTAATCACATCGAAATTTCACAATTCATCATTGGATAAATACAATAATGAATCACAATTCAATACTACTGATATGTATTTATATGAATTAACTGATAATGAATTAATTTTATCTAAATTAGATCCACGTATAAATATAAAAACGAATGAAAACAAATTAATTGATAATAATAATAATAATAATAATAATAATCAACAATTAAATTCTAATAGAAAAATGAAAGATAATGATATGTTACCTATATATCAATCAATTGAACAAACAATATATCAGGTTAGTTTTGTGTTTCGAGATGAAATATTCGTTTCTTTGTTTTTTTTATTTAGTTGTCATGGCAACAATTATTTATCTGAGAAAACGAATATTTATTTAATATCAGAAGGAGTTTTGTGGACATTATGGTGATTTCAATAGTTGAAGTCATGAGTCAATCGAAGCTAGACTACCATGGGAAACCTGGAAGAACTGGACAGTCGTTTCGTCCTGGTATGGGACTCTTCAGTAGTGCACATCCACGATCCCGCATTGCGAGATACCAACCCATGACCTATCGGTCTCGCGTACCAACGCTTAACGTCAAGACCACTGAGCCAGTTGGTATTCAATGGTGTTAATGTCTAACTTCAACCAATCCATGAAATCGCACCACCGTCCACCACTATTTTCAGTGAGTTACTATGTGACTATAGACCCGGTTGAACTTCACTGAACACGACTTGTCACTAGAACTCTACGAAATACCTCTTGAATCTAGTCTTTTGTGAGCATATGTTGATTAGTATCAGGAGGGGCTTTTTTGGATATTATAGTTATTTCAGTAGTTGAGATCATAAGTCATTTGAAGCTAGACCACTCGCGGGATCCAAACCCAGGACCTATCTGTCTCGCGCGCGAACGCTTAACCTTTAGACCACTGAACTGGTCGGCATTCATCGGTGTTAATGTCTAACTTCAACTACTCCACGAAATTGAGCCATATGTCCACCATTATATTCACTGAGTTACTATCTCATAAATTAATTTAATGTTGATATTCTTTATGGAAGCAGTTAAATCAAAATTAAATTATATAAAAGTTAACAATGTAAATTAGTTTCTATGAGTTTATGTTTGTTGATCGATAGATATGTTATGTTGAATATTGATGATACCCATCACCCCAAGAAATGATAGTTTATCAAAGAAACATTGCTTTAGAGTCATGTTTTGTTATTATGAGATCAGTTGAAGTATACACCTTGTCTAAAACTATTAATATAAGCTTTAGAAATACAAAATAATGACAATGTATCATTTTGTAAATCAGTAATATTCATATTGATTTCCATGTGTGTGTGTGTGTGTGTGAACTCACATGTGTATGGAAGATTCATTATGACTTGGATATCAGTTAAATGACCCACTAAAAACAGGTGACAATTACCTATCTTCTTCCACTGTCAAACATACCTTAAGTTTGATCTTGGCTTTTTGGTTTGCATAAAAGTTATACAGAACGAACATAGTAAGGTAGTGGTCCGGGATATTCAATATGAAACCCTGCTTGGCCAAGCTCTCGTGCCTGTTTGGCACTCTCAATGAAATCTACCTGTAGTATTGAGCGGACTGATACTCCCTGGACGACACAATCCTATGCCGTCTAACTTCATTGTCAGATATGTTATAACATAGCTATTAAGACGCGAATAACTTCGTGTAGTAGTAATGTGTATTTACGACTAATTGAGCATTGGATGGTTACCAATGTCATGTATGTTAAATCCTTCATAGTGCCAAGCAGACTCTATGGATCAACACGCAACCTTTGTTCAAGGTTTCCTTTCGACTTCCTATAACCACTATCTATTATGCCAACATCGTGGATACTATATCAAGTCACTTAGACTAAAAGCCACATTGTAATGTGATCAATAGAATTTTATCAACACTAAGGAGGACTTGACATATATATGACAATAGGGACTTTTTAGTATTCATTTAATTGTAAAAGAGCAGATACTTAGATTTATTGAAGGCGTAATTATACAAAAATTCATACTCCTATTTGTATATTTGAAAACAATTTATACTTACATTAAACTTACCCTAGTTTGATTTATTATCCAGAGTGATATCATTCTTACCACTGTTCCTCATTATCTTTATTTTCTTCATCTCATTTATAAAATTTGACATTCATCTATAAAATTTTTTGAGCTAGTTAATTTGTAGCCACTATCCATCTTTGCTTATAATGATTGCGACTTAAGGCAATATCGATTCAATACGTACAGTATGCATATATGCCAATAAGAGACTGATCAATTGCAGTCCCAAACATCAATCGGAAGATTTAAGTAAACAATATCAAATGAATTTAAACTCCACCCCATTGCACAGGCAAGTGGCTATAAGGACTTCGTAGTTAAGTGGATATCGCGATGGTGTTTGAAGAGAACGGTACTGGGTTCGAGTCCCGGAGTGAACATCAACTCCAGAATGCAGGTGCATTCAACTGACGAGTCCCAAATAAGATGAAACACGCATCCTGAATTCCACTGCTAGTCACTATCCATCTTTGCTTATAAAGCTTGTGACTTAGGGCAATATCGAGATAGTCCGCACAGTATGCACATATGCCAATAACAGACTGATCAATTGCAGTCCAAAATATTAATGGGAAGATTTAAGTAAACAACATCAAATGAATTTAATATTAATAATGTTTATTACCTCATCTATAAACTGATGGATCTGAATAAAAGAATGATGGATACAAGTTGATTTCTTTAATATAACAAAATATTTTCATAGTTATATTATAATATCGACTTGGTTTATATTGATTAATATTTGAAATAATGAATTAATTATAATCACCTAGGTGAACTCATGACAGGTTAATTAATGATAATAGTTTATCTTACATATCTAATTTAATAAATATCAGTAACTAACTAATTAACTGACTTATCCTTGATCTCTTTCATTAACACTCTTTGAAGAGTTTAGTAAAATTGAGTTGTTTACATAACTGGATAATTTAAATATGGATTATGTTTTATGTGAGCTCAATTTAAAAAAATTGAAATCTTTTGAAAGAATTTTATAACACTTTTATGGATGTATATCCTTATTTATTTATTTAGACACATAAATATTGGTAAAAAGGGGCAACGAATACATATGCACCACACTAGTCACTTGGTTTGTGTGTGGGCTATAATACTGCCAGGGTACCCAAACCAAAGCAGGTGGTTTCCTTAGGGGGCTACATTCGAAGACTTCGACCTAAAGGTCTAATCCACAAGGTAGTGGAGCAACGTAAGAAGATGTAGTCTCATGGTAACCGATGACCAACGATTGGTTCATACGCCATTTGTTCCCCCAGGTTCCTGGAGCCCATGTATACAGTTGGTTTGAAATTAGGGTTTTCCAACTCTCATAGGTGGACTCTCCGTGTCCACCAACCCGGTTAAATTGCCGGACATTTGCTTTTCGTCCTCTCAATTTTGTAAACAACACCCGTGGTGTGACAAGGCAGTGGATAGGACTTCCCTGGTGGTGAACGTATACGCGTTTAAAACCAAAATAATTGAAAATGACAGAATTTTATTTAGTGTAGAATGAAAACACTGATACGTACAATTTGCTGCAGTGGATTCTTAAAATATCAATGTTAAAGATCTAATAAGTCTATTGCACTTCAATATTTATAGAATGTCTAATTCATCATGATCAGAAAGAAAAACTACCCCATTGGGTTAGAAGAAGCAGAATTAGAATGTTGTACGACGGTGAGCTAAATGATGAAGTGTAGAACAGCAGCGCAACATGTATGTGAAGGATTCCAAAAAACCTGACATTGTTTAGTATTAGCTAATTTAAACTAGTTAGTCTCTTTTTTAAAAATAGAATTGATCAGAGTGGACTTATGAGAATCTAAATGAAAAAAAGCTTTCATTAACTGTCCTAGAGGAGGTTATTTGCGACCTGATGTGTTTAATGGCAATACTTGTGGATGCAAACTAAATGATGTGGATACGAATCTCATGAAAAACAACATGCTATTCAAAATTTTAGGTATCTTATCCTGATGATTAAGCATGGTTCAGTAGGTCTTTCTGTTAATTATTTCCAAAGAACACACAATTCCAGGCTTCAAATACATCGGAAAACTCATTGATTATCCCCAGATCTATTCTTACTAAAGCAACTAAACATGTGAAATAGATAATTTACAGAAAAAGCGTGAAACTCATTATGGCTACTATTTCGTAGTTAATATCATGAATCTATCTCAGTTAAACAGAAACTGAAAACCATGAAACACTGAAAAGTGAATTCGTTCAAATGTGTAACTCTTTAATAGGGCTCATCTACAAATTCATCATAAGGAATCTGATCCATAACCCTCATTCTCATGCATAGGCGCTTAATCTCTTGACCACTAGTTTGCAGTTTATTAGTTTACATGTCTAAACTCAAATTAATTTGTAATATTGCACAACCATATTGCAGTAGCCCCCAAATGCCCTGGTACGGCCAAGAGTGGGGAGAGTCCGCCCTCCCTCTCGAAGTGCTCTCACATGGCCACGCGTATATATCCTCTGCCAGGGAAGTCCTACTCACTGCCTTCTCGTGGCGGGGGTATTGTTTACGAAAATGAGGGGACGAAAAGCGAATGTCCGGCGCTTTAACCGGATCTCAAACCAAGCCAATGGTGCACATGGGCTCCAGTATCCTGCGGGAACAAATGGTGTATGAACCAATTGTTGGTCACTGGCTTCCATGGGACTGCATCTCCTTACGATGTTGCACCGCCTTGTGGATCAAATCTTCCGGTCGAAGGCTCGGGGTGTGGCCTCCTAAGAAAACCACCTGCTCGGTTTGGGCACCCGGGCAGTATCACAGCCCTCACACATATCGAATGAGATTTGTGTGGCGCATATGTATTTGGTGCCTCTTTGTACCATTATCTATGTGTTGAAATAGAATAAAATAAATATTGCAATATATTTGGTGAATATGTGTTTCACAATTTACGTGGTTGAACTTGACCGGCTATGGCTTCTCACTAGAACTCCGGAACTACCTCTCAAAGTCAGTTACTAGCGAGTTCATTATTAATTATTTTAGGTGTTTATAATGAGCGATAATATGAACTGATCAAAGCTAAACATGTAAACTAATGGATAGCGGTCCAGTGGTCTACAGGTTAATCATCCGTGCGCAAAACAAACGTACCAGGTTCAATATGATGTGGATGAATACTAATGAAGAGTTCCATGCTA